GCACCAAGGGAAGGAGGGGACTCCTAAGAGCCCAGTGGCACAGCAAAAAGCAGCAGTAGCTCCACTTCAAATCAGACTGAACCTAGAACTCAGGACCTCTGCGAACTGACTTTCTCAGCAAGATCTTCACTGAAACAGCTAGCGAGGTAAATGGGGAATCGTTCTACCCCTTTCATACTGTGAAGACACAGTGAAGAKGAAACAAGGGGGTACAGAAACCTTGGTCTGGTTTCCAAAAAATATTTACAATCTTTATTCCAGAAATAATTAAGTCAGATAAGAATATTTATCCTAGAAATAACTAAGATTAAAAAAAAAATATTAAAACAATACAATGAAATCATTCAATATCCATAAAGACAAAATAAAGTAAATTCAGCCAATGGGTTATTTTCATACTGGTGGATTTCTTTAAATAGTAATGAAATCATTGCTAAAAAATCCATTGTTATTAAAATAAAAAGTTGGCTCAGCCTACCAAAATTAGATTTGTAAGTTGCTGGTCATTCCCATAATTAAATCTGTGTCACAAATTTGCAAGAAAAATGGACACTATGACTAATGCATTTACTTGCTGCACTAGTGCTGTCAGGCTGTGTAAATCATTATGCCTGCTAAAACAGAGTAGATAAGAACTCCATACACTTTCATTACCCAACAAAGSTTTGTGTATGTGTGAGAAGCTAACTTCTATGTACGCTCTGGATTCACTTCTTAAAAAACAACATACTTGGTTCGATCAGCAGTTACTGCTCCAAAAATTAAGCTACTGAGCTTCTGAGCAATAAGAACCAGTTCGGTCTGCTTAGAAAGAGCTGGCCAGGTAACACAGCAAAGACATACATAAATATATACTTAATTTGGATAAAAGAGATTAATGAACTGATGAGCACCTGGAACAGGGCCTATGTATCCTAGCATATGCTTTATTCCACCTTTCAATATAGAAAGCTAAATTAATCCAAAATAGCATCATAACRAGTCTTAAATGACACTGCCATTTCAGGCTGTCCTTTGCTCCTTCTTGAGGAGCAYGGGGGTTACTAGAGCAGAGTCCACTGGATCCTCTCTGCTCCTCTTAATTTCCTGTCACCACAGACCTCCAGATTCTGGTCACAGCTCTTTGTTCAAGGGGAGGCTGATGACTKCTCCTTTCAAACCTATTATTCATAATCCCAAGCTGCCAAGGAATCAAAAAACATTCACTCACATCACAAGCTGGATACTCTCCCGAGCTTCCAGCCCAYGGTCTCATGTGGAAAGGAGATTAATGAGAGGCAGGAGGGGATCAGACAATAAGGCTTCCAGCCCCGCAGAGCGCAGCATTTTGTGAAGGCATCCTCTCTCCTCCGGTCTGGGCCCTCTCCTCTTCCATGCACGTGGATTGCAGCCTGGCTGCAGACCATAAAGCCCTCAGTCAGCTCTCCAATGAGTGTGCATCTCCCCTCCATTGCAAGAATGGCCTCAAATACAGGCTAAGCCTCAGGGATCTTAAGGCCACCCAGGTAACCAAACTGAACACTCAGCAGCACAGCATGCTGTACAGTACCCTACCTACAACTCCGTGCTTCAGACTTTTACAAGCATTATTCCTGTGCTGCAGCACAACAGATAGCTCAGGAAGCACAGTAATGCACACACCACTAAGAACCTCAGCAGACATGCCTGGCACCCCAGCCCATTTTGTTAGCCCTAAGCTGCAAAATCTCCTCGCCTACAAGTGGAAGCAGCCACCTCRGTGCTTTTGAATGCTGGCACATCTTGGCACACATCTGCACGCGTTACAGCAGCAACCTTGCTGATAATCAACCACCCGGTATTAGTAAGACCTTATAAGATTTTATTAAAGCCCCATTAASAAGAAAAGCTCCAATCACTTATTATGTTCCTCAATTACTGTAAACCAAACTGCTTAAACAGGGGGAGGAGATATTGCTATTAAGCACCGCACTCAGAGCAATCCTCTGTGGCATGATTCTAAATATTCTCTTGGTCTGAAATTTATGTAAATTGAATTCAGCTATCGTTAGTTATTACCAGTCTAGCTGCACAAAACCAGTTTTCTGTAACAATTAGTTCTTTAAAACACTATGTTTTAATTACATCTGAGACATAGYTAAACTAAGCATAAATATGTACGGTATCATGTTGTGCATTCATATTTACAGCAATATGTGTTTTAGTGAAATTTAACAGGAATTTCAGTTTGCATTTGGTTGATAGGGTTTTTTTTTCCTCCTTCCCCATGAAAACACCAGTTACTTAATAAAAGCTATTTCTGCCTATCAAGACACACTCGATAGTTACACATTTTGTACACCAAAATGCACTTTTTACTACCTGAACAAACTCATGTCAGCATCAGCCTAACATTAAGCTGAGACTTTTCTTACAGCCAAGATTTTGTTTCACAGCTTAAGCTCTGAAAGCCCAATTCCCGCTCTTCAGGAAAAAAGAAGAAATAGAAGCCTAGGACACTGACATGGTTCAGTCCTTTTAAATCAGCTTGTTTTACACTACCACACACAGGCACCAGCCCCACAGGGCACAGACCGAAAGGAGCCAACAACCTACTGTCCTCCTGGTTTTGTCACGCCTGCACACAAGTGCAGCAACCCGCCTATGGGCTGCACTTTGCAGCATCAGAGAAATAAGAAAAAAATACATACATACACATACATGGTCTTGCTAATAGCCTGATCCTTCCAAATGATCCCTAGAACATATATATGCAGATATGTATTGTATGCAATTATACAAATACATTTTAATCTGTGGCACAGACAGTAAAGACACCAGACACTAATAAGAAAAATATGAATGCTACTTAGCAATGCTCTGAAGTACAAACAGAGGAAACAGCACCTCCACATACTGCCAGGCCTCTAAGATAGGCACCAATATAACCGATTACCAAAGACATCAACCACCTAGAAACTCCCACTATTCTTTTCAGAAATAAGCCTATTATTTTCATATTTTACAGGAGAAAAAAAAGTTTAACTTCAAACAGGTGTATGTATTTTTTTTAATGCTTTTCCAGTTGTTTGAGGAAAACTTAAGTAACAAGATCCAGTGTGACAATCAGGAGCAGCTYGCTTAGAGGCCAGGCAGACCCTACACTGCTGGTGAAAGACTGATTTTCTGGCTACATGTTACAGCCCACATCCTACCACCCCTCCACTGCACTATCACTCCTAAGCCTCATTCTATTAACATCATGTTTGGAGAAGATTTCAAAAAGCAAAGTTTTAAATAAATTTGTGATGTATTTCATGTTTTAAATACATACTCTCCCTATACAATCATGATTTCAATTCCTCCTTTAGAGGAATCTAAAGCTCAAGTGTGAAACAAGATCTAGATCAATTAAACTTTCCAATGATAGAACACAGATTGAAACCCAAGTATTATATGAACACAGAAGTAAGTCCAGTTTCTTCAGCTGTGATTTCTTCAGAGAGTTTCAATTAGGTTCTAGAAATTAAAATAGGTATATGCAGCTTTACTAGGAGGCAGCAGCGCTGTCAGATGCTCTGGGGCCTGCGCTCTTATTTGAAGTCAGAAGCAATTCTCCTAATGACGGCTGAATTGGGGCCCCTGGGTATTCAGGGAAACCTCCCCACCTGAAAGCAGGGACAGCAGCAAAGCCAGAGCTCGTGCAGAGCATCGCAGGGCAACCCCAACCCACACAAAGGCTTAAACATTAGTTTGACATTGGAATCCTCTAACTTGAGGGAAAAAGTACTTTTTAATCCTTGGAAGACGACACCCTAAGAGACAAACAGGGAAAAGCATTTGGGAACTGCTGTTTTTAACAAGTGAATGCTTATCTACAGCCACAGAACTTMTAAACATCTCCTAAAAAAACGAGGGGAGAATAAATACTTCGAAGTAGGTCCTCAAAAACGCAGCAGCGTAGCATGCAACTTATAAACCCACAATGTATAAGACAAACAGCACACAASTTTCTCTCTTGGCAGCATATATTTACATCCTTACATTTCTGAGCTCCCATCAAAATAGATACTAAAATAATAATAAAATTACTTTGTGCCTGYGGTTCTGACTTCAATTTCCTAATTTACAGTGTTTTGCCATTATATACATGAGGTCTGCAAACATACAAGAGAACTGCAGATTAGTCCTCTTCCTGGTTACCCAAGACGGGAACTGAAAAAGCATACTTCTAAATATGCACAACTTTTAGATAAAAAGAACCACTACACTTCTTGCCCGCCCAGATAAATCAAAGAACCACCCTCAGTAGATGTATACACAGAAACCAATTCGTCCTTAATAGTCATTCATGTCTCTCTAAACAACTGGTCAATACAATTCCTCCTTTCTTCATAAACAGTAAGAGCTAAGAGCTCTTTACACGTTTTCTGAATCTCTGCAAATGCCCAACCCACAAATACTGTTTTTAGCTTTTTAAAGAAACAGTAACGGGTCCAGCTGCATGGATTGTTTCCCCATTCCTAGCTATTTTGGTGCGTTCCTCAGAGACAGTGTGGCTTCACTGACAGTGAAATATGCTAAACAAATGACATGTCACAGACTAAATTAGCATCTACTCTCTGATCAGCTGGGTCATGTTTTCTTTTCAAAATCCATGGCCTCTTGATAGAAAATAATGAGCATTTGATGGGTCTTATTAGAAAAATCAATATATTGATGCCCATGTCTGAAGCATCTGCATAAAAATAGATTCTGTTAACCCATTAAGGAGAAAATTAAGATGTGTTTACACATTATTAATTCACCAYGATCATAGGCAGTTTATTCATTTTTCTCAAGCATTTAACAAATACAAAAGAAAYTGTAATAYCTACATACAACAAAACAATGAAGTAAACTGAAACATTATTCAAACTTCTAACCAGCTTAACTGCACAATTCCAACAATATTCATGTTAAAAATGCAATATAACAATAGAAACGTTTAAAATGACAATATTGTTAAAGCACTTACTTAGTATAAATATTGCATTACTTACCAAAAAACTTCCAAAGGCTGAATTAAATATAGCAGCTGCCTGAAGAGAGAAAAGATAAATATCAGCAATGGTAAAATAACAGTAGTACAGGAATAAAATGTCGTTCCTTGGCCCAGAAGCTATTAGAGCCTCCAAATACACACATACACAGAAACTGCTAAGCAAAATTAGCCACAGCTTAAAAAAATTGCCAGTGGTCTGTAACTTGCAAAGACTGAGAGGTTCCAGTCTATGAATTCATAAATAACGTGGCGAAGCAGACAAAAGCAGGGGGAAGAGGAAAAACCCTTGCTGGCGAACTTATGAGGAATAGCTACGAGAACCAGAATCACAAGACTCCTGCTCACACTGATTTTGCTCTAATTTGCTATTGCATATTGACCTATTGATTAAATACAGTCTGACTGAATTAAAACAGCGCATTTTTATAGGCTTTTAACAGATTATCAATCAGRCAAGCAAACCAACTTAATTGCTCATAATAAACAAGTAATGGCAAATTCAGAAGTTTCTGTAATTTGGCCAGCAAATTTAAAATATGAACAACAAAAATAATATCAAAATTACAAGACCGAAAATGTATAATTATTACTTCTTACTCCACAATCTTTTAAAATAAGAAAATAAACAATTTTGGAAATGACTTTAAAAGTCTTTGTGCTTACCTAAATATCCAGGAAATATAAAGTAGCAGTATTATTTCTTAACATTAACTCATTATTTTCCAGGAAGTTAAAACTTGAGTCTTGAACAGCTTCCCCCAATTACCAGGAAAGAACAGAAACTCTTGTTTGGCAGCCAGTCTGATGATGAAAAGCCACGAGGCAAAGGTAAGAGGAAATGGGGAGGGAAATCTACCATTTACATGAAGATCTAGAGCTGAGTCAAATTAATCACCCTGGACATTTTCAGCCACAGATTAATAACAAGTGGATGCTAGTGAGTTTAGCAAGTTTGAATAAAGTCCAAATTCMGGGTAGGAGCCGTAGCTGAACCTGCCTTCTGCTCCTTAAGAGGATGCAATGAGAGTGAATGGGTAATGAGATCCTTGGCTCCAGAGAGCTTAGCTTTCTTATTCAAGTTCATAATTAATTCAAAGCCTTGATAATTTCATTAGATTCCTCCTCTGCTGGCCCTATCAATAAAAGATGGCACCGGACCGCAGCTCCTCAGCGGCCCAAACACAAAAACCAGCGCAGACTTGGAAACCTTGGCGGACTTGCTGCTAGCAYAGACAATGGCATATGGCACTCCGTGTTGCGGAGGGAGCATCTCAACAGATACAGCTAAATAAAACATTATAGTTGACAGTTGTAAACTACAGCAACATATTTTAACACCTCTTCCTCATCAGCATTCCTTTTTTGAACATAAAAAAGAGGCACAAGTCCAAACAGCTTCTCTTGCCAGAGATCACAGTTGAAACCAAGAGAGTATCACTTAAAACAATTCTTCAACAAGTGTGAATTAAATCAGTTTTTTTTTAATCTGTACAGCTTCAAATGCAAGTTAATACTTGCACGTGGCAAAAGAGAAGACATCACACTCATGCATGCAAACCTACTGCACACRATCAACTTCAATGCATAGGATATCCTCAAAGGTACCTTTTGTTAATACACTCCTCTTCCAGATACTATTACCACTATTTTAAAAAACAAACAAAAAAAMCACCACCACAACAACAACAAAAAAATACACATAAATAGTCAAGTTAATTAAACCTCATTTGTATTTGTTGGGCAAGTGTCATTCTTTCACACAGTCTGCAGGTATTTGCTCACTTCAGACTGAGGAAGATGCAGAGAGCCCTCCTGTATTAAATTCTGCCTCTGAATCCATGAAAAGGATTCTAGACTTCCATTTTCAAGACCTCCTTCCTTGCAAAACAGTCTTTCCTAYATAAAACAGTGTAAATCACTTGCTAGATCTGAAAGCAACCAGCATCTGGGCTTCTGCACCAGAAGGCTGGGAGAAAACTTAATGGTCCCCTCCTCCTCATATGGATTTTGTGTGTGGAGTGACAGCTACATTTCTGTCTGCCACAAACCACCATACCTCTCATCCTTCTCAGGAAAAGAAGCTGGTGAAGTCCACATGGAGTGGATACGAGTCCTTTCTTTCCTTCCTCTCTAACATGTGACAAATACCTTCATTTTACAAAAACAGCCAGTGCTATCCCAGCTGGATCCAGGCCAAGCTCTGCTTACAGTACAGGTTAGCCTGTTGGATTACGTCAAGCAAAGCAAGAGGAAGGACTTGTGAGTCAGCTCTGAGCTTTTTGCTGGTCATTTTAACAAAATACAAAGAAAAGAGCAATAGCTGGCAAGAACTGATGTACTGGGAGAACCCTGTACATTGACGCTTTAGCCACACCAGTGGATGCCAGGCCTGATTTGAAGTTCAGCAGCAGACATGAAATCTTTCACTCAAATCATGGGGTATTCTTTTTCTTCTCTATGTGGCAAAGTGCTAAAGAGAGGAACCAGGTGGGTCTGGTGGTCTCTTCTTGCCTTGACATTATCAATCCATAAACAGACTTCTTCCTTTCTTCCTGATCCATAAGGCAGGTTTCTGCTTTGCATTTTCAAGCTCTAACAGACCATAACCTGAGACATACTTTTGTTTCAGGTAGTCAGCCATGCAAAAGTCACCATTCACAATCAGTCAGGTTACACTACCTTGCTTTCACCTCTTCCCTTTCTCCAAGAGGACAACAACCAACCACACTAGATGACTATAGGCTCCCCTACAAGACAAAAAGACCACAAACRAAGCTTCCCAGATGATTTTGCCTTAATGAATGAGAGTTTACACATCTGACTCTATTTGCAGGTTTCTTTATCTACAGATTTTTTATTTTTTTTTTTCAAAATTTCTTTCCTTTCTTGCAAAACAGAACTACATTTTTCTCACACCCACAAGACTGGGCCTCATGCTTGTGATTCTCATTCAACATGAAACAAATCTACAGAAAACCAAAGCAACTGTTCTAACTTGTAACTAAAGGTAGGCAGTAGGGCGACCCTGCAGACTTCAACCACTCGGTGCTTCCAACCCTGTACTACCAAGGGGGATGATGTTGCCCACACACCYCATGGACATAGTCAAAATTAATTCATTGCTTGAAAAGCACTTTGAGATCCTTGGAGGAATGCTTCAAACAAACATTAGTGCTGACACACGGCACAGCCAGTGTCATGTCTTCGCTTCCTATTTGAAACATTTTTTAGTCACTACTATTGCGTATCTTTTTAAAAATGTTTGCTCCTTCTGTGCTATAAAGGATATCAGTCTGCCTGCAGTCACCTTAAATAAAACAATAACATATGAAAACATTTAGATATTGTTATAAAATTCTAGAGTTCAGAACTGCATGCGTTTGCAAACTGTTGCACTTGCTTTTAAAATCAGCGATAGTTCTCTCTAAAATCAATGGTAAGATCTTTTCAGAAGATAAATGCATAACCATGCACTTCAATGCAAGGTGAGACCCCCTTTTAAAGCAGCAGTGGAGATAAGCAGCCTGTGCTRTTTAGACCAATTATTCAAGTTCGCATCGACTTGGAGAGAATGACCAAAAGCACTATCAGTTCTCTAATAGCACTAGTACAGAAGAGTAAGGATAGCTCCTCTTGAACTTTAAATAATAAGCCTTCACTAAACAACAAATTTACTCATTATTAAATGGCTACAACTTCAGTCAACTCAGTACAGCACTAGGCTTGAGGAAATTCTCTTGCTGCTCTGCATTTCCTGGGAGGATTGGCTGGGGTGGAAAGTTTCGTGTGTGAAGAAACCAGCCCATTTCCAAGTGGAACCTGATTTTGTTCTTGGCAATAAGTCTTCTCTACCTATATGCGAGCCTACTGAAAAGCTCCATTCCTTTTCATCTCCTACCTTATCCKCCTGGAGCATGTGTACAGCAAAGTGGTAATTATAGCAAAAAAAGATCACAGATAGGCCTCAGACCTACAATCAAAGTTTTGTTTAAAGAAGAAAAAAAAAAAATACTTCCCCACACAAAGGGCCAAACACTTCCCATAGGTTTGTATCCCAGGTCAGCAGCAATACCAGGGACCTGCAGCATTCAGGTACGTCTGATTCGGCAGCAAATCAAGCAAGCTGATGCTTCAGTAGTTAACTACGGAACACATTCATCTTCTGGGCCAGGGGAAGTAGGGATACTCTAGATCTGCTAACAGAGATCTCTCCTTTTTTTTTTTTTTTTTTGGATGCCAGTGCTACTGCAGTTCATTTGAGCAATTAGAAAAAAAAAAGAAATTTTATCATTATCAACAAGACGCAAGTGAAATGGCTTCATACCACTCAACTGGAACGAGCGTTTAGCATTTTTACTGCAGAGGCACAGCAAGTCTGCGCTACCTCATACCTTTATGCTTGGCCCACATGAAAAAGGAAAATAATATATATGTATTTTTGGCAACACAGCTGCCAGGGCAGGGGGACCAAACATCTCCAGGAGAGGCAGCTTGGGCTGCAATTACCAGCAGTTTCAGCATCATCATTTTCAGACATGCAGTAGTGGAATACAGCCCGGGTGCCAAGCGTAAGGCTGAATATCCTACTTAAAATGTGTGGCACAATGAAGCAGAGAGAAAAACTCACAACAGCAGAAAGATGTGGAGAAGGAAAGACAAGGATTCTGGCAGATCTATTGCAGGGCTGCTCTGGAGAGGTCAGAGAACAGAACAGGGTAGTGTAGCATTTCATAGTGGCCAGGTTATTAACACAGAATTTAATAGACCCATGTCACTTTTTTTTGTTATTATTTGTTTCTTCATCAAAAGAAGAGCAAGGATAGAGTGAGGGAAGAGAACATAAGACTGACTGAAGTGACAGGAGGGGCAGGAACCAAACTGGACAAAACAGAATTTTATAAACCCAAAGAAATAACACAGCTCAAGAAAGTGGAGGAAATAAAAGACATCAGAAGTAGCTGGAATGAGTTGGCAGAATCCCTTTAAAGGACTCCTTCAATCTCCTATTTAAAAACAAGATCTCAAGTGAGTGCTAGT